TCGACACAGGGGCGTAAAATTATCGTACACACCGGAAAATTATCGTACGCCCCGGGAAAAATTTGAATTCCAATAATTTCTCGGATGAGATTTTCAAAATCTGGAAAAAGAGTGCAAGTTCCAACTTTTTCAAAGTTGATGACCTTTTTTTTTTAGGTAGCAAACGGCGTACCGCAGGGAGAAAGACTTGTTCGTACAGAGATCGTACACAGATCGTACACGGATCGTAGTGGTGGTGGTTCTCGAAATTTCGATTCACTATCGGAAAGTCGTACCCCTTTGCAAAATTTGATGACTAAAAAAAAAAAGGCTGAATTTTGGATCGTACAAGGCCTCAAATTATCGTACGAATGGGATCACTGCCCACGCATGCTGCTATACTGCACTACACAACAATCCCGGTATATAAAGATACTGTATCAATAGTTACTTATTGTAGTAAGAAATTATTATGTTTAGAAAGAAATTCTTATTCTATGGTGAAGATAATCTTTTTTGGAAGATCATTGAAGGTTTTTTGAAGTGAAAACTTCTTTAGAATCGAGGTGATTTGCAAACGTATGAAACGCAAACAAGCGGTATAACAGTGAGAATACCCGAACGTTACGAAAATGACGAAACGGCTACGTCACAAAAAGAGACAAACATATATATCTTTATAGGATTGAGCCTGCGAGAGAATGAAATAGAATATAGTATACAGTTTTTCCTATTGTCAGTCACCTCTTTGTGCGGTGCTTCATAGTCCTCACTCCTGGCTACTAAGCGTTGTCATGTGTGTGTTGTGTGTGACTGCATACTACGAAGCGTAGACTCATATTATTTCACAGAGAATCCAGACCTTGTATTTTTAAAACGTTTATGAAACTTTATAAATTTATATGTGTTCGTTAGGGTTACAGATCGTACATACGATGTATAGTAATTAGCTTCCTAAGTATAGCTGTTTTCGAGAAAATTAAGATAAAAAATTAACTAATATTCTTATATACTATTGGGTTGGCAAGAAAGTAATTTCGGCTTGCACCAATAGATAGCGTTATGTTTGTTTCGTTATTTTTTTGTTAATGTTAGAATTATTTCTTTTAAGGTTTGGTAATGACACTGATAGGTTGCTATAGAAACAAATTCCGTGTAATTTTAAATGAACGTAAAAATAAACAATTGAGTTTTATTTCACACTAGAAAACCGAAATTACTTTCTTGCCAACTCCACACACAATATTTCTTTTAATTTAATATTAACCACAGTTGTATATTACCATATATAGCGTATATTACCATAGACTCGTAATCAATAGATCACTAATTCGAGAATCATCGGGGTGACTTCTTATTTTTATTTTTTATTTCCTCTATTTTTCTACCGTAAGTTATATTATTTTCATTAAAAATATAATAGAAAGAATCGCTTATTTTTTTTTACAAAACGTGTCATGTCTTTTCTATTTAAAAATGTTTCTATTTTATTGAAAAATTTGTATTAAATACTTTATTTCGTAAATATTATAATTAATAATTATGAAATACATAGAATATAATAATTGTATTGTCTGCAATATTTTATTTAAAAAAATGATTACAAGATACATTACAGAAAAAGAATTAGAGAACACTGTAGGATACATTAGGAACAGCTGACAAATTCCATTCAAAAGCAAGTAAATTACTGTCACATTTTTATTTTGCTTCTTTATAAAGTATATTTAATTCATAAAGACAAAATATGTCTATTAAATTTGATTTTTATATGTTTTTATAAAAAATATACAAAGACTTGTATTGACCCAGGAATACAAAAAAATTATATTATTAATTATAATATTTACGTAATAAAGAAATTTACGTTAATTTTTTAATCAAATAAAAACATTTTTAACATGCTGAACGCCTACCGTGAATCGGTGGAGTTTACGACAGGGCTGAAATTTGAGACTCATAGTATACACAGCGCGATAAGCTGAGGGAGCGATACGATTCAATATGTCCTTTATATGTTTCGTTGTTTAGACAAGAGTATTTTGAGAAAATAAGTTTGTGGTTCAAAGAATGAAGATAAGATACGTTATAAATAAATAAGGGTCTCGAGACTTCGAAGTGGGCAGACTGTGGTATTGAAAAAGCATTTCGAGAAAAGATCACTATTTTTTTTAAGATCTCGTTGCATTTGTACCAGAATCTTCATTCAGTCGAGCAATATTTTCCGTATGTTTTTCGTAACGTCTTTATTTCTTTATCCTTAAAATGTCTGTTAGACAGTGCAAAAGTGTAGATGAAAGTGAGAATTCGAAAACCATCGTAACTAACAAAATTTTATATCTGAATTTCACAAAAAGAATATTCTATATTTACTTAGTCCACAACGCGGTATCTTTCCGTCGACAAACATTCTACTATACTACATCGTGAGTATGCAAACATACATAGGCATCTAATATAATGCAAAATAGGATCGATAAATATTACATAATAAAAAGTTTATTATATAATAAAGCATTATTAAGGAACAAAATAAGTATCGAAATCTCGAAATTAAATGTGAAAAGTTTAGAAAAATTTGATTACAAAATAATCTTCGATAACACGCTAGGAATGTAATTTCGATTTTCACAAATATTTTAAAAATTTTAATTTTTTAAACCCAACAATGCGTGGATTTACAAATAATGGATGTTAAAAAATACGTTTCAAGGAATCGATCAATATTATATAGAATGATGGTGTACGTTTAACCAGTTAACTGTGGTGCTCCGTTTTGAAAATGCGCACCGCTGTTTGTCGCACAAATCGATCATTCACGAGTATATTCGTCAAGCACACATTAAATGTCGCTGGGGTGTCCCATACAACTCTTTTCACTATTTTTCAAGTATTTGCGATAACCTGACAAAAAAATACTTCAAACAAAAGTTAATCTGTTTTTGATTGACTATACATTGCAATAAAAAAAAATTTGAAAAGTTTGTAATGTTTTTTAACCATTTTAGTGTCACGTATTTTTGCTGATTTTCCGTCCAAAAGTGCCAAGGAACGCTTTTTCGCTTATCTTATTCTCTCTCCAAAAGTGCTAAGTGACATAATAGCGTTTGTCTTATTCTCCAATTAAAAATGCTAAGGAGCGCTATTGCGCTGTTTTCTGCTTTATACGGTAAGTTGTAATTTTTTCAATTCAGTGTTGTTCTGACATCTTTCTGAGCACATATCATCTGTACATATATCAGCGTCTTTAATGATATTGGCGTCCAAATATTTGACTGAAATTAAAATTCGTTCTTTTACCAGCTGTCTCATTCTTTTACTTTTACCTAAAATGGTAACCGTAAAGTCGCGCATCGGCGAAAACCGAGCGTGTCGCTGTTATCGGCTTTGCAGCCTAGAACGCTGGCACTGTTCGAGCGACACAGAAGAAGTGCAAAATCGCTCCTTGGCACTCAAACGATTAAGACTATCTTTATTGAAGTGAAAACTTCTTTAGAACCGAGGTGATTTGAAAACGGATGAAATGATGAAACGAAAAATACAACGGAACGCTACGAAAGAGAGACAAACATATATACATCTACATATAGGATTGAGCCTGTGAGAGAACGAGATAGAATATAGTACAGAGTTTTTCCTATTCTCGGTCTCTTCTTTGTGCGCTTCTCCGTAGTCTCCACTCCCGGCTACTAAGCATTGCATACGTGTGTGTTGTGTGCGACTACATACTACGAAGCGTAGACTCATATTTCTCAATACACACATTTAAAAATATAATTTAGATCTTCGACTGGTCACTAAACTATCCATGTTTCTCACAAGCAAAACTGTATTATAGTTTCTACATAAGATTTCAGCATCAGAAAAATTAAAGATCTTCATTTATAGAATCATATCTGTAATATATCTTCAAATATTCTCAACGTAAGACTGATGTAACTGATCAATGTAACTGCTATGAGGAGTTGCAATTCTCTTTTGTAAGTGTCATGACGATTCAGAATAATATTGGTAAACTGATTGTCGTTCGTACCTTTTATTTAATAAAGGGGAACTAAGAAAAGCGGAGCTTTCAAAGTAGATATTAAACGAACATTGAAGATTAAATACATTTGTAATAATTAATAATATTGAATAATAATGTGTTTCTTTTATAACGATTTTTGGAGAGAAAATTTCGTTAAAATCGTTGTGATTCAAAACTTGATGAAATGAAAAAATACGACCAAAATTGTTCCGTTCTTGGTCAAGCATCTAAAGCAGTGGTTCCCAAAGTGGGCGATGAAGTGGTCCAGGGGGCGATGACGACCACAGGTGAACTTTGGGGGTGGGGGAAATGAACTACTAAAAAGGAAAAAATGTCAGTGGAGGCTGACCCGAGCTGCTATACTACGCTACACAACTATGCCGGTATATCGATACTGTGTCAATAGTAATAAGATATTAGAAAGAAATTGTCTTATTTAGGTTTTTCTGTTTCTTATCTTCGCGCCTGGTGGGCCATGAAGCGGTCCAGGGGGGCGATGACATGATAAAAACTGGAGTTTTAAGTGTCGGGTATGCAATTAAAAAAAGGTCATGAGTGCAATAGCTAAATAATTTTTTTCATTTCTCAGTTATTAAAAAAAAAAGGTCACAAAATAAAAAATTTTTAAGGGTGCAATAAGCAATATTTTTTCAGGAAAGGACAGAAAAGTCTGGGAGCCACTAATCTAAAGGAATTAGTTGCAACAAAAAAATAACTAAGTTTCACTAAAGGATATATTATACTTAATTAAGTTACGACGAAGTATCTTTCCTTCGACAAACGTTCTACGATTTTTTTGTCTATCTATGGCTATCGTATTCGGCATTCCATCTTAATTGCTAGAATTTGGAAAGTGGTAGTTTTTGTCAACTACCCCCAACACAAAATCATACCGGTGCCCTTTGATATATATAGTAACAATATTATAATAAATAAATTTTACAATTATCTTACTCCTGATACTGTGCATTCGTTTCATTCTCTCAAAAATTAGTTTTTTGAAGGTTTCACTTCTAATATGTGTGATCTGCACACATGTTATTTTTTTTAAATGGTAGCCTGTTTTTTTGATCTTACAATATTATAACCCGTATTAATACGAATTCAACGATTTGGTATACCATGACCTTCGGATGACCTTGAAAACAAAGAAATGAATAGAAATAGGCGATAATGACTTGGTATTTATTATTAAAATACTCGAAATTACATTCAATTTAGGAACATTGACTAATAATGTTACATTATTAGAAACTTAATTACGAACTGTCGACTATTCACAACAAAGAATAAATTACTATTAACACTTTGCGGTCTATACATTGCATCAAAATTTTTTCGCTTGGTGCCTGTAGGACTGATTTCAAGATCATCCAAAGTTCATGGTATACTAATTCTTTCAATTCATATTAATACGGGTTATAATACTGTAAGGTCAAAGATATAGGGTGCCATTTAAAAAAATAAAGGAAGCCTTAAAAAAAATTTTTAAAAACTTGTTTAACTTTTTTTATTGTAATGTATAGCCAATTAAAAATGGATTAACTTTTATTTGAAGTATTTTTTTTCAGGTTATTGCAAATACTTGAAAAGTCGTGAAAGGATTTCCGAATATAACGGCTTATAAAAGGTTCTACCATACCTACACTAATGTTTATTGATATCTATGAATTTTAGTGAGACTGTCAAAATTCCCAGATTGAGAGATATAAAAAAATTCGTTATGCGAAGTATTACGCTGTTTCAGTAGGTAAATGCAGGGACATACATCTCATATTTTTCATATTTTTTATTTTTTTGTTTTATTCCGGCCTGGCCTCAAAATATTCTAAATATCTTGAAAATTAAGAATAAGTTTCATTTTTCACAAAAATTACAATTTAAATAGCAAATGGTCACTACTTTTTACACGTGTCGAATATACTAGTCATGACTAAATCATGCCACTTCTTCATGTTGAGTACATTCGTCGAACTCAATTAACACGTTGAGCGCCACGCGAATTCTTAGGGAAATCTCAGTCAGGCCACGGGCGCTACTTCGTATTGAAAAAACAGTTGAACGTGTCAGTCACCAGAGACGGACGCGGTCTAAACTTTCTGTTTAATGTCAGTCAGCCGGTGACTGACACGTTCAACTGTTTTTTCAATACAAAATAACGCCCATGGCCTGACTGAGATTTCTTTAAGAATTCACGTGGCGCTCAATGTGTTGGCTGGTTAAAAAATATTTGTTATAATTACCTGTAATTACGAGGACGAAAAAAATTTCGTGTCACCTTGTCTGATTCCAGAATTCCACTAGTCGTCTCGTAATTCGAAAAAGTTGAACATCTGACGATTCTTGTAGCTCATTCGCAGGCGCTGTTATCATGTAACCAATCAGCGATCATATAAATTGTTAGTAATTCGCGCTATATTTAAAAATATAAAGTCATATTAAAGATAATGTATAACTGCATAAAACCTTCATTTATGCTTTATGTACATCATAGATTGTTTAAATGTATATAAAATAAACGAAAAGATAAATTAATTAAGCTTACCTGTACAGAAATAAAATTTTCGATTTTAACTCCTTGAAATTCAGAAGAAAACACTCACGATAATCATCAAAGACAATTGAACTTGGTGAAACTGAAGTGAAATTATTGGATTATAAAGATGTTTTTAATTTTTCACATAATGTTTAAAAAATTTTACTATTGTTAGTATAAATAATTATTATTATATGCAACGATATATATATATATATA